AACTGATTCGTCTTGTTGCACACGATGTGCCTCTCACACAGCTAAACAGTTTTCTCCATCGTTTTTACAGCATAATTCCAGTGAGTTAAATAGGAATGTTCAGCTCATTCAGCGGATACTTGCAGCCTCGCTACTTGTGCGACACAAAAACCTAACATGACGCAGAAGACACGCACGTCCCGCAAAGTCTCTAAATGTGGTCGTCGGCGTCGGCTCGGCCACACAGGAAGAAGCAGAACATGACGCAGCAGCCGCACACCAGGACCAGGCCGAACAGGATGTAGACCAAATTTGTGATCCAGAAGGCAAACAAGTAGAGCGTCTTGTTGCAGTAATGGTCCACGTTCGTTGAGTTATTGGTGTATTCAGGCTCGTAAATAGAGTAGATCCACACATTGCCTGAAAAAAAGAAATAAGAGATATTCCGTGAATGGTTTTATGACACAAGGAGAGAGAACTGGAAATGAATCGTTTGTTTTCCAGACTCATGAGGTCATTGTGACCTTTGAGCTTTAACTGTATATTAGCAGCGAACCCAGAGCAGAAAGACTTTAACACTGTATACTTAAGCATTTGTTTATTCATCACAAGTCATATCATGTATAAGAAAATCAAATAAGGAGACGCCTGTGTCGGATCCAGCCTTATAACCTGAGGAGGACATTTTTACTTCCTTTTGCTTCTGTGAAGGTTGAACTCACTTGATTCAGGTCACATTTGACCGAGTGACAAATGAAGCTGAAGCTTATTCACACAATATAATGCGTAAATAAGTCAATCTAGATGTCTGGCACACAAGGTTGACATCTAGTGGCTCAAACATGCGTCTGCAGTGTGTGGATTCTCCAACTGGTGCGCCTCCGTTGAAGGAAGTGAGGATGTGATTTCCTGTGAACCTCTAAATAAATCATATGGAAGAAATAATTCCCGCTCCTGTTATCAGTGATCAGGATTCCATGTAGTGATTTATTGCACTTATACCCCAGGGTATTCATCATAGGAAAAAAACTGGAGGGTTTATAAAAAAAAAAAAATTAAAAGACCATTGAGAGTTATAGTTTTATAGTTTTAAATTGAGATTTTAACCACTCGTGGAACTGCGGCTGTTTTCATACATGAACTGCAGAGTTTCCAGATTTTGCCTTTCACATATGAAGAACGCAGCGGGAGACTGTCCGCGTCAGATGCGTTCACAACAACAGGAAAACGTCCGGAGCGTTCAGACGAGGGGTGACGTCAGCACGCAGTGGTAGACTACATATCCCATCGGGCCTGAGAACTAATCGGGTTCCCCCCGGGAAAATCTGGAAAGCCTGGCTGGGGAGAGGGACAACTGGGTTACCCTACCTGAGCCCCGATAAGTGGAGGACAACGCATGGATGGTTTAACTTTCTGGTGTAAATTTTGAAAGACAATTTAAACCATCCAGCCAGAGACACGTATCACACCAACCACTGCACTTCCCCTGTTTGGTTTCCCTGTCTGTCGGCTCATTCGCCTCCCCACCGCTTCTTAAAACTCACCAGCGATGAACCAGCAGAAGAGGAAGCAAGACGTCATTGAGTTCCACAAGACGCAGAGTCGACTGAGAGGGTTGGTGCTGCCATCTGTGGGCTGCTGGGTGCAGGGCAGGCAGGAGAGCAGCGCCAGCATCAGGCCGAAAACCCCCGACACGATCAAATAGATGGGGATGTAGGGCTGCACCGGACAGTCATCCAGATACACTGACCCTGGTGGACGCAGAGACAAGAGACATGTCAGTCTACATACTCATCAGGAAAATGCAGCTTCACCGCCACAGATACTCGAACAAATCTCTCACTCACCAATTGCAATCTGAGCAACGGGAATGATGCAACCGAAAAACTTTGAACATCCTGAAAGAAGAAAAAAATAGATTCAATCGTCAACTCTTGCTTCTTTTCTCGAGCCTCGTTATTAAACTGAGACACAGTTGTGTGTGATCTCACCTAGTACCGGTCCCTGCGGTTTAGGAGGGCGGGGGATGCGTTGTATAAGACCTGACATTGTATCAGTGACGAGGGCTCCGACCTGCAGAGGAAGACAAACACCTGAGAATAAATTTTAAACTTGAACTCTGGGGCACTTTCAATAAACAGAGTAACTTCAGAGCAGACTCTATATCATGAGGTGATGAGACGGGACGACCGAGCTAGGGTTAGCATATTAGTATGTTAACTTTAAGCCATAGACTGCGTATGAAGATGGACGCCACGTTCCCACTATCCAGAAATGAAGCCATCTTGCACATTTGGAGCAAAACTTGGGAAAAAAATAAAAATTGAAGCCATCTTTAATTTAATTTGAAATGTTTTGACATGTACTTTGACTTTTGCCCCATCGACACACAGGGCGACACAGTTGGGACACTACAGTTACTTATCGACTGACGGACAAGCAGTTTGCCTGCATTCCTACAGTGAGCCAGTCACACCAACAATACAGGAAGAGCAGCGACAAGAAGCAACCTGTGCACAACATCACGCAACACAAGGGAATTAGAGAAAGTGTGGGAAGGTAAAACTTAATATACCTATACACACAAGTGTACAACACAGAGAATTAAAGAAGCTGTGAAGCTAGTTTTCTGTCTATCTATCTGTCTATACACACAACAACAACAGACGTAACACAATTAAAGAGAATTAAAGAAAATGATAGATAGATAGATAGATAGATGGATAGATAGATAGATAGATAGATAGATAGATAGATAGATGGATAGACTGACAAGATTTTGAGGCTAAACCACAGACAGGTTGTCTATCATTTTAACTGTTATAGACATAAAGTCAGCTATCTATATATCTATCTAAAACACAGATAACAAAAATGAAGAATACTTGAGAAGAGAATTAAAGAAAGTGTGAAGCTAAAAAACAGACAGATAAAAACATAGAACACTGACTGACACTGTTTTAGTTTGAGGCTAAAACACACACTAGTTCTCTTAATATTATTCAAACTTAAACAATATTGATGTATCTCTGCTACACGTTTTTGTCTTAGTTTCGTTTTGTAGTTTATGGCGAATTAACAACAACAACAAGCAGCAAATCACACAGAAATGGGTCCAGGCTGTTTCAGTCCAACTTGATTCAAGTTGAAACTGAAGCTGTCAAACCTGATGTGAGAAAACGTCTCGTTATTTCTGTTATTTTACCGGAAACACACCAGAGACACAGAACCAACTTCTACTGTCCGATAATGGGTTTCGTCCGGACCCGTCCACTTTGCACATAACTCAGTATTAGTTGCATTAAATTCAGTCGATGTGTCCAAACACTCACCAGCTGTCTCCGGCTGCAGAAGTGACGGGACCGCGCCCCGCACAGGGCAAAACTGCACCTGACGGGAGCGCGCACAGACAGGAAGGGAGGAGGAGGAGGAGGAGGAGGAGGAGGAGGCGCGCTCACGCGGTCAGCTGATAAAAAGGGTGTTATGTTTTTTGAAAAAAATTTTTGTATGAACATGGAAATCAAACATCATCACAAAAATGTCTGTGGAATGAACCCTAAGAACATATACACAGAAAACATGCATCAAGTTAAATCCAGTAGAATAAAATACAAATGAGTAAGATTGACTTTTTTCAAATCTTTCTTATTTCATTCATTTCTTTATGAATTTATCCTCATAAATAAATGTTTTTTTTGGGCTAAAAGGAGCAGAACAATCGATTCCATCAAATCCCCAAATTATGCTTTTAAATGATCTAAAACAGGAATTGTTTTGCGAGCTATAGTCTGAATTGTGTAGGCTACTGCACACAGTTTTTTCTCTTTATTACATATTGTAGAAAATTCTGTAAAGCAATCACACATGACGATTACAAAATGTGCAAAATGTAAAATTAACACTGTATTACTACATAAAAGATATAGAAAAAAAAGTTAAATTGAGTGCAATAAAATAAATTGAATAAATAAAACTTTGTCCTCTGATAAAACGCCTTGTGTTCTCTAAAACAGGAATTGATTTATTCAAAGAGTGCAAATGTATTTACTTATCCATCAAGGAAAAAGTTCAATTAACATGGGTCTGTAGTCCAAAATGTTAAATATTTCCTTTTCGTGGGTCGAAACACATAAAAATAAAGGTGAGTGAATTATAATTGATTGACATGGTAACACAGAATAAATAAAAGTAGTGAGTACTAAACACAGTCATAGTGAGTAAAACCTTGACTTGCAACATGTTGAATTCTTCTGTCACAAGTGAGGAATGTTCAGATCCTTCACTTTGTAGCAGAACTCAGTAACAGCCTCAGCCTCCTGATAAACAAATGCAGTCAAATCAGAAACGAGAACAGTTGAATAAGTCGCCGCCGTTTATCTCTAGTTTGTAGAGTGTGTATTGAAGTGCGGACTTGGCTCAGAGCGTCCGGACAGAAAGTTGTTTGATAGAGAGCAGAGTGGACAAATTATTTTATAACGTTATATGAACTGCTTATGTCAGTGCATCCATAAAACATATAAAATATACAAAAATGCAAAACAAGTCTCCTACTGTGAAGAACATATCGAATGAAGTCAGGTGTGAAATTTAAACTTATATATATATTTCTATCTACCCTCACAGAATCAAAGTCTATTATCGGTTTGACCGGGTCTTTTCTAATCACTCTCAGAGACAAAGCTGTCAGACGTCAGCAACAGTGAGTAAACAAACCTGTCTCTTGCGAAACACCTCTCCGAGCTAAAGGCCGAAGTGAACGCATTCCTGAAATACCTCTGTTGATGTGTTTTATTATTCAACTGGGTTCAAATATCCCAAAAAACTTTGTGACATTGATATGAAAAGAGGTTTTTTTAATCATTTAATCAAAATGCAAACATGGAAACAACAGGAAATAAATATTACAGCAAAAAGGAGAAAACAATGATGACAAGATTAATAAATATTAAAACAACACACAAAAAGATTTTATTTTGGCAGCAGGGAAGATGATGGTTGCCATGGCTTGTTATGTAGTTACCAGGGCAACCGGGCGATGCTGTCACAAGTCGGTGAGGCAGACGCTGGAGGACGTCTCAACGTGGACACAACCTCGGCATCCCGAGCCGGACTGGTCGCCTCGCAGATCAATCACATGACTCCGAGTCCTCTCAGACTCCGTCGTCTGGAGACGAGCGACGCCGAGCAGCGAGTCCCACAGGAGACCTCTGCCCCACAACTGCACACAACAGATTCAGATGAGGATCGTTAGAACGTGTTCTATTATCAGTGTGTGTGCATGTGTGTGTGTGTGTGAATACCTCAATGGAGATGTGTGTGTCGGGGTGTCTCCTGTAGAAGATGGTTCGGAGGTTGAATTCAGGGTTTCCCTCCGCCTTGAACACCTGCGTCCTGATGGTGTCGTTCTCACATCTCACGACGGCATAAACATCTGGAGCTGTGAGCGTAAACAGTGTAGGAAGTTGTGAGGACGAAACAAGAGGACAAGTCTCTCTGCGGCCACAAACTTGTTAGACTTGTATAGTGTTTTGTAAAGTCCCACCGACTTTGACCTTTGCCCACGAAATTCTAATTATCTGTGAGTTTAAGTGAATGCTTAAAGTTCACAAAACATTAATGTGCTTTGTGACGCCTCAGCGAGTTTGACCTTTGACCACCACGTTCCAAACGGCTCATTCTTGACAAAACCGAAGATATTCGCTCAAGATGTTTTCGAAATACTGTGGTGACAAGAATGTGGACAGACAAACAAGCCGAAAACCAAAATGCCTCCTGCCACTGACATAAAAACATTATTTTCTTTTCTTTTCTGCCCTGTTTTCATTTGTACACCTGTCAGTATGCAGGAGATGTGTCCCGAGTCACCTTTCTCTTTCGGAGGACTGAGTCCTGACGCCCTGCGGAGATGGACGGTGGTCACCACTGTAGGTTGAGGTAGGAAACACTGGAACAAAGAGGGAGGCGACAAATCCTCCCTCAATTCCCTGCATGAAGAAGAAGGGTTGAAAAAGAACAGAGGGAAGCTGAAGATCTGGCAGGAAATAAAAGATACGATCTAAAACGTGTTCATTCATTGTCTTTGGCACCTTGACAACGGTTGCCACGCCCCATTGAACCGAACAAAGAAGAAGAATGTGTTGATAAAAATATAAACCGATTACATTTGTCGATATGAATGAACTTTTCTTTACCTTTTACTTTTTGTATACGTGATATGAAAGCAACTTCAAATCTACATAAGTTCTATTAATAAGTACTTTATAATTTAACGACATAAGAGTACATAGTCCTGTGAAAATTGTAGATGGCATTTTACGTTTGTAGCTTCAGAGATGTTGGATAAAATCCTCTAAACCACAGGAAGTAAGTTGGATTTCTCGTAGTAGCAACATTGGTTTGTGTGGATCGTACATTAACCCTCCCTGCACACTTTAGTACAGTGTTTATGCTATTTTTGTATAATATCAAGACAAGGAGGGTGTATAAAGCAGCCAGCCACTAGGGGGTGATCAAAATGTTTTGGCTTCATTTTCTTCACACCTGAGTCTGACGTGGGAATGGGAGAAGAGTCGTAGCAGGAAGCATCCGGTTGCGCCCGGCAGGAAGGTGGTTGGCAGCACGACGTAGCGGCCTGTAGCTAGCGTTGCCCTCAGCGTTACGCTACGGGAGTCCATGTAGATGGAGCTGGCCGCCTGCTCCACCACACACTGCACCCGGCTGCAGCGGTTCACCTCCACCTGGAGACGACACCATTCACTGAATTTTTGCGGAATTTGAGAAACAAGCAAGTTCTGGTCCACAAGCCATCGCTCACCTTCAACACCTCAAAGCCGATTGGCAGGTTTTCTCCTCCTCCATCTTTCCTGCGTACCCTCCTGTCCTCCTGCTGCAGACAGATCAGCACCTCTTCCTCTTTGGCTCTGACCTCAAACATAAACTGTCGAGGAAGAAAAAGCCAGGTTCATTTCTCATGTTTTTCTGCTCTGATTCAAACACTTCCACTTCTACCTGTGGATTGTGCAGGAACGTCTCTCTATGGTTGATGCACCCTCCACACCGACTCCTTTTATCCACTTGTGCTGTCCAACCTCCATCCCCCTCTCCCCCATCGTCATCCTCCATCACTTTTTTCACAGCCCTATCCTGCCTTCCTCTTCTCCGTCCCCCATGCTGGCTCTCCCCAAGCCGGGCCTCCTTCCTGTTCCCGCGCTTCTCGGGCCCTCTAGGTTTCATGTTATTCTTCCCTGGGGTCAACTCGTAGCTGGTGTGGGAGATGGTACATGGAGGTGACCCGGGGGTGTTGGGAGCTGGGGCCCACTCCCCGTAGCAGCGGACCTCTCTCCAATGAGAGCTCGGCCACAGCAGAGCTCTCTCAACCAGCCGGCACACCACCACGTCTGTGAAGTAGTGACAGAAATCCTGGAAATCCATCCTGAGTGAGAGGAAACCGACACAAGCTGAAGCAAAAATATGTACGATGAACGCAAATAAATTAGTAGAAATAATAAAAACAAAAGTACCAGAACTCCCCAACGTCTCGAACTACGAGGCCCATCTTCTCCCTCTCTGCACGACTCATCTGCTGCCACTGCTGTGACCTGCAGGGGGCGTGCAATACCGGTAAAGTCAAAGGCAGCTGGACAAAAAAAAGCAAAGCTGTAATGTACAACACGATGGAAACGACATATGAAAAATACAAGCTTTGTTCCAACTTCTGAAAATCTTTATGGCTCCGCTTTGGCCCTTTCAAGAGTTTCTCAGAGCTTCATAATGAAAATGGCAGATGTCCCCTTGTAAAACATTTCCATGGCTATTGTAAAATGTCACATATTGTCCAAAGAAGTTGCAGTGGCGTTGTAAAATGTTATTAAAAATGTCTGACAGTGTTAAATGCCAGTAGAGATTTAATTCCCTGAGCTCCTGCAAAAGGTGTAATGTACCCAGCAGCCTAACATGTGGGAGATGAGGTGCCTGCAGGGTTCACTGTGCCCTCACCTCTGACTCCAGGCACCCGTCCAGTCTGTGGTCCCCCACGGGTTCCTCATACGCACCATGAAGAGTCTGGACGTCCCGCCCATCTTCAGCTGCTTCTCTCCCGGCCTCACCTTCTTCACCGCTGTGATCCCGTAAGCGTGACCTCGCACCAGTCCGCAGTCCAACACCGACTCCACTGTCTCCCCCTCTGCTGGCTGAGAGATGTGACACATTTCAGCCCATCATCCAGTTTCTAAAGAGTCGTTCATTCTCAGGACAGAAGGCCGTACCCGTATGGAGCAGGTGATGAGGGCTTTGCGTTCGTGGGCTTTGGCTAACGTCTGGAAGAACGTCCTCCTCTGCAGGATGTGGGCCTCGCGATCCAGACTGAGGGGTTCTGAAACTCCCCCGGTGAAGTCGATCAGGGCCTCTGCAGTGTTTCCTCCCTCCAGGGCCTCATAGCAGCCGTTGAGCCTATGAAGGCAGCCAAGAGGGTGGCACAGTGACCCATTAAGTCTTGGTGTCTTATACCTCCAAAGGGGGTTGACTAACGCAATCATGATCATACTTATTGTGACAGTTATTTGAGGTGTTGCTTGGGAGTTTCTCCAATGTTAAATGACAGTGTCATTGTTTAAGGTGGTAAATAAAGAAATATCCGCATAACTGGGAGGTTTTTTGTTGATGGCACAAAGGAGCCCAACCAGCCTTTTTCACTGCCACTCACTTGGCGTAGGCCTTCTCCAACAGGGCGCTCCAAAACTCTCGCGGTGTAGCCGAGCGGCAGAAGAGCAGCACCCCGTCCCCGCTGACCGGCAGACGGTCATCCACGACCACGTCCATCCAATGTCCGAGGCGCCAGAACCGGAAATGGAAGATTCCCGCATATAAGTCGAGACGTTTGGGGTTCCACTCCTGCTCCACGTGGTCAGGGATGACCTGGGATATGGAGAGATGAGGGAAGGACGAGAAGAAGGAACAAAGAAAGACGTAAAGGTATAAAGAAGAGGATAACAAGTGGCAAGGAAGGAAAAGAAGACTAATACTCAACCTTTTTCCACAGGGATGGCTCAGACGCCAGGCAGGAAATGGCAGCCACCATCCAGCAGTTACCCAGACTGCCTTGGTGCAGGTCACGAGTGCTGATGCCATCGACAAACAGTCGAGGATCCTTACATATTTCCTGGATTGTGATGAAGAAAGATCAATATGTGGTTGTTTAGCT